AGGGTCAAAACCACATTCAAGATACTTAGTTTCAGTTTGGCCCTCATTTTTCAGAAATGAAAATGGGTGAAATAGTATTTTTTTGAAAAATAAGTGGTTGAAAAAGAAGGAAAAGTTTTCGATTTACGTATAATATTATTTTATGGAAGACTGTGTAGTTGAAAATAGGAGAGAGAAAAATGGAATATAATGTAATGAAATTTAATGGAGTATATATGCATATGCAACCTTGGACAAGCCTTTTAGAACAGCTGCCAACAGGCAGAGTATGTCAAAGAATGCTTCCATTACTTATGGTAGCAACTAGGTGGGATGATGCTGTACGGTATCAAAAGGGAAAAAAGTGGTTAAAATCTCATTTTTTGTACTGTTGAATCTGTACAATACTAGCTAACGAGGATTTAAGGTGTAAGGTTGACTACCACCCTCTGCAAATATAATGGTTTTGTTCTGTTGTTAAAGCAAATATTTTTCCCTATGCTTAATTAGATGATTGATGGTTTTTAATTAGAAAAGTACTAAGCTAGAGCAGTGTTCCAAACATTTTCAAGGTACTATTTTGTTTACCACTATGTATATAAAATGTTAGAAGGAAATTATGTTGTAGATAGCAAGAAATGTTTAAAAAATAGTGTAATATTCATGGTTATTGATTTCATGTAGAAATATTAACACGTTAAATCATTATTATTGTGACATTGTTCTTAAAATACAATATCCCCAACACGTATCTAAACACCAGAGAGTCCTCTTGGCACATGGGGGTGAGTTGGTGTAGTTGGTGATTGGATCAATATTTCTTTTTTGGACTAAAAAAAGGACAAGGATTAGACAGAGGACAAAAAGGGTAGAAGAAATGTTTTGAATCTGTTGGGCCATTCCTACCTTGTAACGGCTATATGACACGTGACTATTATGTTGTATATATCTTTTCGTTTTTATGGGAACCAGTGTTTATTTTAGATAATGAGAAGAAGAGCCCAAATCACATGGTACTCAGTGTCGTTGGCGGTTCTTTAATCTCAATTTCCAACTGTCCACGCAGTGTGCAGGATTCCTCAAGATTCAAGAATAAGACTATTAGCAGGGAAATCTAAATGCATGTATGATAAATATTGGTCGTGTTACAGGATTACTCAAGATTCAAGAACAAGACTATTAGCAGGGAAATTAAAATGCATATATGATAAATAAGGTCGTGTTAAATAAAAATTACTATCAATAGAAGGAATTTCAATATGTCGGAAAATTTTAATGCATTTACGACAAATAAGTTCGTGTCAAAGCCAAGAATACGATCAACAAGGAACGAAAATTGGATACATTTTACTGGGCAATAAGCGAAAGTCTCTTCTTATATGATTATACACTACAAGTATTACACTGGATATAAATGCATAGCCAATACGGTGTGGTTTCACACACCTAATCCCACCCGTCAAAGAATTGAAAAATTCTCCTCCGATTCAGCACGCATTAAATTACCGTTATAAAGCCCATATCAAAAGTCTCATCTTTCTTCCCAATTGTTTCGTTATTCAAAGAACCGACCATTTCCTTTAACCGTTTAAACCCCCTTTTCCCACCACCGCCACCCCACCAAGAAAATTGCTTATACTCTTTTTCTTCTTCATGAACTCAAGTACCTGTAACAAGAAACTCGAGTACTTCTCCTAAAAAATCTTCAAATTATTTCTCAAAAAAATCATCACATCACTATGTCTCCAAGAAAGCTTCTTGTTTTCTTGATTCTCATTAACCTTTCAGTCCACCCAGATTATGTGTCATCGGCGAATGTTAATCTTGACTTCCCATTCTTCACATTCAGAAACATTACTCTACTTGGCGATTCTTATCTTCGAAACGGTGTAATTGGGTTAACTAGAGAACTTGGGGTCCCTTCTTCGAGCTCTGGTACTGTAATCTACAACCACCCAGTTGCATTCTTTGATCCCGAGACGAATATAACTGCTTCATTCTCCACAAGATTTTCTTTTTCCATTGATAATGTCAATCCGTCTTCGTTCGGAGATGGTTTGGCCTTTTTTCTTTCTCCTAATAACCAGACATTAGGGAGTCCTGGAGGGTACTTGGGCCTTGTGAACTCATCAGAGTTTAGCAAGAACAGGTTTATTGCAATTGAATTTGATACAAAACAGGACTTGCACTTCAATGATCCTGATGAGAATCATGTGGGATTGGATATAAATAGCCTTATTTCAATCAAGACTGCAAATTCGATGATTCGAGGTGTCAATTTGAAGAGTGGGAATCTGATTACTGCGTGGATTGATTACGAGAATGAGAAGAAAAAATTTGAAATTTTCTTGAGTTATTCAAGTTTCAAGCCTGAGGAGCCTCTCTTGAGAGTTTCTATTGACCTTTCTGATTATCTTAAGGAGTTTATGTATGTGGGATTTTCAGCTTCTACTGAAGGGAGTACAGAACTGCATTGCATTGAGAATTGGAGTTTCCGGACTATGGGATTTCGCCCCATAAGGCCAAAAGTTCAGCCTCACAGTGTTTCTGAAAGTTCTGTGCCACTTAAGCCACCAATTACAGTTTCTGGTTCAGGAAATAGGCATCATAAGAGGATTGGTTTGGGTCTCGGAATTGGTTTTCCGGCCTTCTTTGGTGCAGTTCTTGTGATATTTGGTTGGATTTCTGTCAAGAAATGGAAGGGTACCAAATCAGAGAGAATCATCAAAGCAGAGCTGGTGACAGGTCCAAGGCAGTTTAGTTACAAAGAACTCAAATCAGCCACAAGAGGATTTCATTCTAGCAGGATTTTAGGCCATGGAGCCTTTGGCACCGTTTATAAAGCCTTTTTCATGGATTTAGGAACTATTTCTGCGGTGAAAAGATCGAAACATACCCACGAAGGAAAAACTGAATTCCTCTCAGAATTATCAATTATAGCTTCTTTGAGGCACAAAAACTTAGTCCAGCTCCAAGGCTGGTGTGTTGAAAAAGGTGAATTGCTTCTTGTTTACGACTTTATGCCCAATGGGAGTCTTGATAAGGTACTGTACCAAGAATCTGAAAATAATAATCCTCTGAAATGGACATATAGATACTATATTGCAGTGGGGTTGGCCTCTGTTCTCACTTATCTGCATCAAGAATGTGAGCAGCAAGTGATTCACAGAGACATAAAGACTAGTAATGTTATGCTGGATGGGAATTACAATGCAAGATTAGGTGATTTTGGACTTGCAAGGCTTATGGATCATGGGACGAGTCCAGTTTCGACTCTTACTGCTGGAACCATGGGATATCTTGTTCCAGAATACCTTCAATATGGGACGGCAACAGAGAAAACTGATGTTTACAGCTATGGTGTGGTCGTACTTGAACTGGCCTGTGGACGAAGGCCTATTGAGAGAGAAGACGAAAGCCAAAAACAGGTGAATTTGGTGGATTGGGTTTGGAGAAAGTATTCTGAAGGGAAATTAATTGAAGCAGCAGATCAAAGAATGAATGGTGAATTCAAAGAGGAAGAAATGAGAAGGCTGCTTCTTATAGGCCTAAGCTGTGCCAATCCAGATAGTAGCGAAAGGCCTTCAATGAGGAGAGTTCTTCAGATTCTCAACAATGAGGCAGATCCTGTGATTGTGCCAAAGGTGAAACCAAGTCTTATTTTCTCAAACAGCTTACCGTTGAGTATTGACGAAATCGTTTCAGATTGTGAAGAATGCAGCTCACCCGGTTCTGAGTTGGAAATCAAAGTTTATTGAACTTAAATTTTGTGATTAGATGCTAGTTATTATTTTCTTCTATTTTTTGTTAGGTGGCTTTTAGGTTTTCATTATCCAAATACAATGAATGTAAACTAGCCAAATTTCAATGCCATTTCATTGAACATTTCAAGTGTGCATCAGATCTCATTATAAGCATGAGTTGGATTGCAATCTTTATCTCGACATAATATTGCAATACTTCATTGTGAATGTTAAGAGCTGGATTTACATTTCTATTTTAACATTCTGTTCAACCATCTTATTCTTTATTGAGAATTTTTTGTGAAGCTCAATTCTTGGTAATTTCTATAATCATGCCACGTGGTCTCCCAATCCCCACCCACTTCAGGGCCCACCCATTGGAAAGTTGACCCTTTCTAACTTGAGAGAAATGGAAATGCTCACGTAGCCCACTTCGCACCTTTGTCTCCACTTACAACACAAAATAACTGACTTAACTGTCATGTCCCCTCTTTCCTAGCCTAGTACTATAAAACTCAAACCCAATTCTTGGCTACTTTGAAAAAAAGAAAATTGCAAACTCTAAACTCTCTGTAATGGCTTCGAAAAGTACAGCAGTTACCTCCAAAATCTTGAAAAATGTCTTATTTTTCTCACTCTTCATCTCTGTAATTTCTTACGAGTTTGAAGTTGGGGAAGAGACAGGTTGGGTTACACCAACTGGGAATGAGCCTGAGACTTACAATGAGTGGGCTGCCAGAAACAGATTCCGCATTGGAGATACTCTTCGTAAGTTTAATTACAAATTACCTCGTGTGTCTTGATCCTAATACTGCGCACCAAATATATCTGGGTTGTTAATTTGCTTTTGTTTTCAGATTTCAAGTACCATAAGGACTCGGTTCTGGTGGTGAATTCTGAGGATTACTTAAACTGCAACACCTCAAATCCTATCACCAAATTCCAAGATGGAAACACGATTTTCAAATTTGATCGCTCGGGGTTCTTTTATTTCATAAGTGGCCAGTCGGGGCACTGCAAATCTGGCCAAAGGCTCATTGTTCGTGTAATGCACCCTTCTGAAATTGAGTCTCCGGAGTCTGCTCCTTCGCCGGCGCCGGCTCCACTATCAAGCGGCGATGATGGTTGGGATTCAGCCGATTGGGGACCGCCGGGAATCAGTTCAACCACAAAGCTCGCTGTAGCATCTTATTACGTGACTTCTTTTGCAGTCATATTAGTTGTTCTATATTAGTCATTCATTCTATGTTTAATTTGCTCGTAGATTACGTTTCTTTCATGTTAGTTGGATTCTTAAGGTATTTTCATTGTAATCAACTATGATTCTTGATAGCTTTTTGGGATTTAAAGATTCATCTCTATCCATGGCTGTACCATTGAGGTCATGGCATTGTGTCCTCAGCGTTCTTATCTTCAATTTTCCTTTAATTAACACATATCATGTCTAATAATGGTTTTCGTTTAAGAAGTCCGTTGAAATGATGCAAAATGATTTATTTGCTCATCATATTATTTTATTTTTTGTGATTTTGTTATGCAAGTATTCATATTTAATTAATTGTTAATAAATGAAAAACTAGCAGGTTGATTCTAATCTCTAAAAAGGAATAAGTTGTTCTCTGATTTGTAATTAATCATAGTTAAACAATATATCCTCAATTATGATAACCCTCAACTTTACTTGGTAAAAACATATCACTCATCAGATTTCTCGATATTGACGCATTGAAATATGTGGTTGAAAATGAAATTTTATCATTTATAAAGCATTTATGAAATAATCAAACGGAGGCTGTTTGGAAGAGTTTCCGACATTGGAGGACAAGTGTGTAACTACCATGAAAAGTTGAGGACTACCTCATCACTCATCAATAAATTGGGAGGTGCAATTTTCCATTTAACTGTCAAGACATACTCCATGCATGCATGTATGCATCAATCCATACATACATAATACATATTTTTTTTATTCTTTTTTTTTTTGGGTTTTAACATAGAAATAAAGGTATTAAAAAAGTAACCCGACTCTGAATTGTAGATTTCGTCACTTAACATGAAGACGGTAAGTTACATTGACTTGTGCTACATTTTGATAAAACTTCAAACAATTAGCAGAAAATCCTGCTTCAGTAAATAGGCATAAGAACTGCCATTGATGCTATGATAATAGACTTGAACATAACTGAAGATGATATACTTCATTCGTCCCTCCGAAAGAATAGAGCTTCATAAACTGGTACATTCACCCTAGCCATTAATCGACAAATAATAATTTGTGGGATTAAATTTTCCAGTGCCCCAAATGTTGTACCAAGAACAAGTTTCTTGATTCTCCAACTTAAGCTGAAAAGATTCAGCAATGCAAGTATTGAAATAATAGTAAACATTACAGATGAGTTTCCAAATTCCATGATTTCTTGCTCATATCTCTTCAGAACATCATCGTCCACCACCATGGCAGTGACTACAAAATTACAAATCTTGTTTCAGAGAAGCCTAATTGCCTGACAATTGTGTCAATGAAGGCGAAGAAATATGATGTAGTTCACCTAATCACCCACATTCTTTGAGAGTTCCACCATCCGTTCAATGTGTTGCCACTGCTTAGGTCTTCTATTAAGCAATAAGCAGTTTTTGCAAAGAATGCATATGCATATGGCAGGAACCATAGTCCAAATACCTGGCATGTAGATGTGAGATGTTAGAGGAACTTGATAAATTTCTTCTTATTTGCTAAGAATTTTCAGAGAAACCTATGTTTGTTCGAGATCCTTTCATGTCAAAGTACATACCTTTGGAAACAATGGCACACCATGGAGCAGGCTAAGAGCAGGAATGACCACATAATATAGTGTGGGTAGTGCAACAGGAGCCCATAAGAGGAATAGACAATATCCTATTTGGGCACCAAAGCTGATCTTTCCATGTCCATATATTTTGGGACAATACTTGGAAAGGAATATCTGAAACAAGCCTTCAGACCATCTCTTGTACTGTACCAGATGTTGATCTAAGGTTGTTGGAGAAACACCCAGGAATGCACTTTTTGTTGGATTGTAATAAACAGGCTTCCATCGTTTGCACTGGATTGTTAAGCCCGTTACCATATCCTCCGCAGCACATCCATACACTAATCCCATCCGCATATTTTACAAAATCTATGAAATGAATGCTATGCTGCAATACTTCCTGTCTAGAATTAGACCATCAGCATGCTAGGCTTTTAAGAATAGCCAAACATGCTTCATATATCAGCATAAAAGTGAGAAAAACAAACCTCTTTTCCCCATTGAGAACCCTTTTCGTAGCTACAATTTGTAACAAGTTTACCAGCTTCCTCCAATTCGTCTATTGTTCTTCCTTTTATAGTAGCATCTTTCACATCATTCCATTCAAAAATACAATTTTCAGAATACTTCCTTCCACAAAGACTCTCTCTCCTGTGGAAACATCCAGTGCAAATATACGGCATAATACCATGACCATCTAACCCGGGCAACTCAATCTTCATAAGAAAGATTGAGAAAGTTCAGTCCACCAAATGTTATAGATATGGAAACGTTTCAATAACTCAGAAAGCATAGTCTTGTTTTGTTAGTTTTGATACTCAATAAATCCCGGACAATGATATTAAACAATGTCGAATTATATTTCATAGGCCGAGGCCGATGAGTGAAATATTTATCAACTAATCAATTCATATACTCGAACCCGAAAATAACGTGGGCTATTAGTTGCAACTTAATTGATTTTAATATTGCCTTGGTCCAAATTCACTTATAGGAGGGCTTCCTTGTATCTTGGCCTATTACTTTGTGTCTTTGTCCAACCTTTGTGTCCTAGCCCAATTGGTAATATATCTAAAACTATTTATACCTCCTCCTTTTGCAAGAGCCGTGTGTTTTGCTTGTGTTTGAGAAGAGAACAAAAATCAGTTGTCTCCTTTGTGGTCTTCTTCAAGCCTTTGTTCTTCGTGTCTTCTCTTAGCCTTTGTGGCTTGCAAACACCACCATATTATTGTCCTTTTGTGGGTGAGAAAAGGGAATGCAACCATAAGTGGATTGAAGTTGTGGGTTTGTGATTTGGTTGATCGGTTGGTGTATTGATTGGTAAGTTTGATTTGAGCTCGGAATTCTACCAATTAGAGGTCGATTCTTCAAAACGTTAAAAATAGGGACTTCCACTTTGCAATTCTTTGAAAAAACTGTTAGAAGTGTGACTCAAATAGGAGTTTAAATTGCATTAAATTTCTTACCTTTTTTGGGACTCTTTTAGGGCTAAATTTTATATTATAAATACAAGACTCCTCTGTCAGTTTTATTGAAGCCTTTTGTTGTATTGTGCTCTCCTTTCATACTGAATTAATAAAATATCGTTCCTTCTGTCAGTTCTTCTTTTCTTTACTTTAATCTTGTTCTTGGGTTATTTGTGATCTTGTTCAATACTTCAATTACAACAAGTGGAATTCATTAAATCTCAATTCCTGCATTATTGGTCAAACGGTCCCAACAAAAACTGTTGTACAAGTTTTATTACTTATTTCAAGAATTTTCATCTTGAAATGTTTGTAGCTTCTAACACAAAATTGCTATGGCGGCGGATCATATTTAAAAACTGTTATAACCACAAGAAAGAGAGGACGAGAAATTCTCAGTGTGATTGGAAGACATGCTGTAAGAAACTGGAAATCCTGCATTTGAATAAATATCATTCTTCGTAATATTCTCATAGCTCTGTGGATATTGAACATAGAATATCTGTTGCCCTTGCGTCTCATCCATAAAGAAGCATAACGCATCTTGTATTGCATCTGGATCATTTGAGTACATATCGTAATCCAAGTTGAGGATGATTGGCGCGTTACTTATTTCTGATGACATGCGTATCTGCACAATATAAGTGATATTCAACTACAATGAGTAAATAGAATTTGTGTTTTCCACCTTTCTCTTATAGTTCACATGAACTTAAATCGAGCTTTAATTTAAAGAGTTGAGGCCATTTGATGTTATATTTATGAAATGAACAAAATTTGTTGGTAGATAATGTTGGGAATTTACTTAAAAATGCACAGCGGAAATAAAAACAATTTCAATTCTCACTAGGATTCATCTTTGTATTTAGATATGAACTGTGATAAAAGTTATACATTTTCTTGAATTTGCAAACTCGTTTGTGTTATCTTTGTTCCAACAACTTGAATCTGCTTCTCATAGCTGTCCAATTGCCTAGCCTCTAATGAATTCCACACGGAGAATAGATTGCAACTGCTAGGGTTTCTTCTCTTGTACTAGCAAGAATTATGAAAACTCTATAGATCTAAAACTCTAGTCATGTATTTATATAAGTCCCAACGGGCTCGACCTGGTCCAATCCAATATTTAATTAATCCATTTAATTAAATCCGGTCCGTGAATTAATTAATCCAATTAATTAATTCGTGGCTATAAATAACAAATTCAATTAATTAATTTATCCAATGATTGTTAAATTAATTAATTGGCAAATTGCAATTTTCCAATTCTTTTTTGTGTGCGACCCATCAGGTTCCCGACCACGATGTCTAACGACGTGACATATTATTTTGATCTAATCAAAACTGATAAATTAAAACACTCTTTTAATTTATCGCAAATTCACACTCACCGTCCCAAATTGAAATCTAGCAATGTATCAGGGCAACACATGTGATGGGAAATGTCACGTGATATGACAAAATCAAACCTGTTTGTTTCCTATGAAACTATAATCCCTTCGTCAATATGATCCGATCAATTACGAGATATGGAAGTGTGTCAATCTCGATTATCGATCATATCTTTCATTCTACTATTAAGTCAATATGAGTCGAAAACTCCTTTTCGATTTATGTGTATACCTTGGCCAAGGATCTCCTTATTGACTTAATTGAACAACATGCAGATCACAGTCTCTTACTATCTAAGAGTGACAAATCCTCTATTGGTCATTTACAACCTTCATATGGTTCTTGACATACCCGAACGATGTCGTATTAGCGGTCCTTGGTAGAGCAACATCCAACACCGTCAAAGCATGACTGTTCTCATACAATGCACTATGATGACCTCAAGTCAAATGACCAATTCCACTACCGAACGTTAGAGATTAACTACTGACACTCAGATAGTTATCCATGTGGAATCTCTTAGCGGGTCTCCAATATTTTGTTCTATAACAAAACATCCACGTATTTATTTAAGTGTCGTCACACTTTAGCTTGTGAGATCAGTTACTTACTTCACAAGTAGGAAATGTCACACGTGATGGTCTATCTGTAATAACAATATCCGTATCTCATTATTACTTACGACCACGGATTATTTAAAATCCAATCATATGTAATTTGTATCTCACAATCACA